GACCTGGGAGGGGGCATAAGAGGAAGAAACTTGGGCGGGGACAGGGAGAGAAGGTACCGTAAGAGGATGATAATGAACCTCTACTCTTAACAGAGCCAGTTAAGAGGTGAAGAACCAGGTACAGAAACTGGGAAGGAAAAATGAGCAGGTTGCAGAAGGGAAGGAGGGGTGAAAGGAAATTTTAACAATGGAGATGTTTTGGACTTCAGAGAAGGAGAGGGGCGATGGGGAGTAGGTGTTGTACGAGGTCCCAGACACAAACTTGAGTGAGAAGAGGAAGAGGTGAGAACAGGAGGAGGCACCGACATAGGAACCTCGAAACCCAGGACAGCAAAAGAATTAGCGGCGGACGACTGCAGAAGGGGTGACCAGAGGCGGCTGCAGAAGTTGGGACCCCAGAGGGGAGACGTTTAGTAACTCGAGAAAAAGAAATACGGGGAAGTTGCCCTTGGAATAGTAGATGAGAGACTGCCATAACATATGGGAGGCCTTCTGCCTGAGAACGGATTTTACGCTCATTTAAGTAAACTTGGCACCAACGAGAGTAAGATGGGCGAGCCTCATGATAATTAAAGCAAGAGGGAGGGAGACTACGAGACATATTGGTATGGTTGTTTGCACCACAGACTGGGCATCTGACGGTGGACCTGCAATACAGTGGACCCCTGGTTTGCGATGGCATCGGTATCCATAAATCCGGTATTCGATACATTTTAACGCAAAATTTTTGCCACGGTTCCCATTTAAAAACCCGCCATACACAATTCGTCCGAGACCTGTGCACGTGTGGCCCAGTGTTTACAAGCCAGCCAGTGTGGTCGCATCTTAGGATACATTCGGTACATTCCATATTATCAGTGTTTTTGGTGTTTCTTTCTGCAAAATAAGTCACAATGGGCCCCAAGAAAGCTTCTAGTGCCAACCCTGTGGTAAAAAGGGTGAGAATTAGTATGGGAAATAAAGATTTTGAAGGGTTTGGGGCTAACCCTGAGAAGCCTATGCCAGTTGTGGAATCCCTTGTGCCTACTTCAAAAATTAAGGAAATGTGTGCAAAGTGGGTTGAACTGCAAACCTTTATGGATGAAAATCACCCTAACACAGCAATTGCAAGCCGTGCTGGTGACTATTACAATGACAATGTTGTGGCCCATTTTAGACAAATCATAAAGGAACGGGAGGTACAGAGCTCTATGGACAGATTTGTTGTGTGAGAGGTCCAGTGACTCAAGCTGGTCCTAGTGGCATTAAAAGAAGGGAGGAAGTAACCCTGGAAAAGGACTGGCTACCTCAAGTCCTAATGGAAAGGGATTCCCCTTCTAAACAATAAGTTCGACACACTCCCCTCCTCCCATCCCATCAATCACCACCAGATCTTCATTAAAGGTAAGTGTCATGTATTCTATTGTTAGTAGAGTACTACAATCTGTGCACGTCTTCTTCAGTTTGTGTGCATTAAACTTAATATTTCATGTGGTAAAAATTTTTTTTCATACTTTTGGGTGTCTTGCATGGATTAATTTGATTTCCATTATTTCTTATGGAAAAATTGATTCACTTTTCGATAATTTTGGTTTGCGATGAGCTCTTGGGAATGGATTAATATCGCAAACCGAGGGTCCACTATTTTGCTGATTGGCAAAAATGCCAGCATTTCTTCATTGTTGCAGTGTAGGGACCACCCTTTCGAACTTTTAAATGGTATCCCACCATACGTACAGAGGACGGAAGCTCATGACAGTCGAAAGTCAAGCAAGCTACATTACATGGGTATCCTCTCTGCTTGCAGGCAGGGAGGATATTAAGTGTCTACTTTGAGGATTGGGAGGTCTTGGAGGTCTAGCTGTTCCAGAATGCCATTGCCACATGTCTGGAAATGGTATGGGGGCAGAATGACAGTACCACTACAATTGAGGGAATGATGTATTTCAATAGTTACAGGGATAGCATCAATAGTTGCAAGGAGAGAAAGATCACAAGCTTGGTTAGCATTCTGGACAGTAATGATGTACGTAACGCTCTTGAGAGCACGAAAGGATACATCTCTACCAAAATGGCGGAGGAGCGCCTTGTCAATACTATGGTCAAAAAGATAGGCAGTAGAGGAAGTCGGTCGTAGAGTAAAAAAATTAGTCCATTGTGCATTTCGAAACAACGTGTAAAGGGAGTGCGTGACATGTCGGTCTTTTCTGAGTAGAATGAGAAGGAAGCGAAGAAGTATCATCAGGTAATGGTCTTGGGCATTTAGGTGCAGGACCGGAGTTGGTCTGACATGGGACGGGCAGGCAATCTGAAAACTGCCCACCCGTAGAAGCCGGAAGCATAGTCAAAGAAGAGCAAAGGTCAGACGTATCGAAGGAGTCAGTCGAAACCCTGGTACCTGGAGCAGGTGTCAAAATGGCACCAGCAGGAGGTACAGGGGCATTAGAAATGTCTGAAGTTATATCAAATAAAGAGGCTGGGTCAGAACAGGGTGCAGTATCAGAAAGAGGCCCAGGGGGAGCAGGTTCATGGATTGGGTACTCCATGGTTAGGTCACTCCTTTTCTTTTTGTTAAAAAAAAAAAAGGGGGGGGGGGACGTGGAGGAATAGCTCCTAGGAGGAATGAAAGGGCCGTAAATCTCCCTCCGCACCCAAGAGGACCTCGGCACCACAAGTAGTGCAGATGTGGCATAGAACCTGTGCCCTTCATGCCAGTAAACCAGCAATCCAGAATAGCAACCTCACATCCGCCGAGCCACCTCACTGGTAAAAAGAGGGCGGCCGGACACCCACCCCATACCTCCTTAGTCCACCACCCCCTGGAATCCGAAAGGTAGCCTCCAGTGATACACCAGTCACCCGAAAGACACCCAAAGCCACCTCCCGGGAGACCGGACAGGGATCGGGACATCCCCAGGTGATCCAGATTCCACGGCAAACTACACCACCGCCAAGGACCTCAATGGAATGGAATGGGATGGGCCCTGGTACCCTTCCCCTACCTAGAAACTAGAGTGCCTGTGTGAACGATCCCAAAGGCTACAAAAAGGAAGGGAATAGGGGAGGGATGAAGAGACACAGCAGAGGGAAAAAGGGAGGATGGGGAGGATTGGATAGGGGGGGGGGAGGATTTAGGGGGTAATTAGGTTCAGTCTTGAGTTAGGAGACAAAAAGGTCTAATTCCTCAGACCAAGAGCCTCTTCACCATGCCAAGAAGCCCCTCTTGAAGGAGAGTATATATAGAGAAGGGGTTACTAGCCCCTCTCTTCCAGCATTTTAGTCGCCTCTTACGGCACACATGGCTTTGAAGGAAGAATGGAAGATATGCTACTGATACTGGGCTGAAAGTAGAGGAAACTTCTTTTTTCAGGTTTTCCAGAGGATGAGTAAGGTCCTACTACATTCTCCAGTAAGTTTTATGGGTTTTTAATAGGCCAGGTTAAAATATTGGAATGCTGTAACCATGACCAATCATTCCTGGTTATATTTTATTACCAGAGAAATAGGGCAAATCCAATTTTATGGCAAGATTCAAAATGGAAAGAAAGTGTTAAGGTGCCGACTCCAAATTTTGGCCTACTCTTATTTTTCAACCAATTTTTTTTATTTTTGGTGTACAATTAGAGGTTCATATGTAGAAGAATGTGACAAAGTTTCAGTATGATTGGCCAACAAACAGAAAAAAAATATTTAATGACTTTTCATATATGGCAGCAAGGCATGACAAAATGGCACTTCGAGTGGCACTTCCGACAATCCCAACCGTTAGAATACATCTGACACGAATTTTGGATGCACATGTTTCATCTAATATATCTTATTATCATGGAAAAAAAAATACATTTGATAGACTTTTTGGCATTCACCAAAATATCTGCCTTTTACCTCCCACAAAATCAAAAATATTTGATAATTCCAAAAAAAGAATCAGCAAATATTCACACACACTTTTATATTGTCAGTGAAAATCATTTCAATACAATCACTAATAATGGTGTACTTTAGCGAAATAAGTGAAAAAGTTACCTCCGAGATATAGGCCTGGAACGCCGTCTCCAAAAAAATTTTTTTTCGCGAAAATCGCATTTGTTTCAGTGGTTTTCAAAGTAAACTGATGTTCTAGTGCAGTTATCCTCTTCAAAATACCGTTTTCTATCACTCACAGACCAAACAATACAACAAGGAGACGAGGAGTAACTCATTTATTAAATATCGAAATATTGCTGGTGGACACTCCATATTATGGCCTATTTTATTCAGTCTAGAGTATATAACATGTTTGTTTGTTATTTATAGTTTTATATTATATTAGATCAATTTGATAGACAAATAAGCCGTATAGTTGATATAAACGTAATAAGTGATTTCACCTGGCACCATCTGGAGGGGGAGTACTGCCGAGTGTTCTCAGATGGCTCCCGATTGGCTGGCACTCTACTGATAAGCTCCACCTACTCTTATATGATGCCAAATAATCAATTATTATATTAGAAAGAATAATGCAAAGAAAAAGCAATAAAAAACAAGGAAAAAATTCCAAAAAATACATGGGTTGAGAACAGACGCGCTACCTACATCGCCGTTACCATACCTGATATAAATGACTAATTTCTTGTAGAAACGTCTTAGAACATTGATTCTTGTACCATTGTGTTGCCAAAGAGTTAAGCTATTTTTCGGTATATATAACTCAATTTCCATAATTTTTCAATTTTTGGTTGAGCGCGCGCGGAAAATTACCCACATCCTTCCTTAACATCGGAGAAGCTGGGGGACATGACTGATGAACAGAAAATGTTTTGTGCTTGGAATGTCTAGTGTTTATTTTAGACTTAAGGTTTTTTTTTTTTTTTTTTTTTTGAATGGGTCAGCTAAGAGCTTAGAAGCAGTTATTTAAAAAATTAGGCAAACATGAAGTATCCTTTTATAAGGGATACAACAATCAAATGCTATACATCAAATAGCTATGGAAACGAAAGCAAACCATTTACTCAAAATGGATACAAAAAAAATCAGTTCAATACCAGTATTAAATCTTTTTTACTTCTTCTTTGATACACCAACGGTGCGACCACGACGGCCAGTGGTCTTCGTGTGCTGACCTCTCACACGAAGACCCCAGAAATGACGCAGACCACGATGAGCACGGATTTTCTTCATGCGCTCAAGATCCTCACGCAGTTTGGTCTCAAGGTTATTGGACATTACCTAAAAGAAAAAAAAAACTTAGTACAAAAAATCTGTATTCGTTATGAGATTCACTACACCAGGTAGCCTGAAACAGACCAGATCTTCAGTTTGATCAATTTATCTATCAGTAGTACTCAAACTGTTTACATTTCTCTAAGAATAAAAGATTTAAATATCCAGCAGAAATATATGCATGATTTAGGTTAAAGAACCAGATGTAAAACAAGTCATAACATTTGCAGAATACTATCTGAAGATGTGAGCAGCTGAGGCTCAAGTTTTAACATGTGTACAAGAACTTGGAAATCAACAGACCAAATTGATAAGATGACATTACAGGAATAAAGTACTCTTCACTTGTTTTGCTGCATCACATCAATCACTACCTCACACTCAAAAACATTTTCCCTTTATATTTCTTTCACTTTCCTTGGGTACATTTCCCTCTTGTTTTACCCCTCCAAATGCAACACATTTAGTATATCTGTATACTAGCCATTCCCTAACGTTAGCCCTTACCTCTTTTTGCCTTATTACTGACATTTATATATTAACATGACTAAACAATTATGTAATGAAAATTCAAACCCATTGCAAGCCAATTTTATAGCTTGCAGGCATTGTCTGCTAATTTTATGACTGGCTTGCAATGGATATGAATTCCATTTAGTCCAAGGTCACCTTATATCTGCTAATCACTTTACACAGCACCTCACTCCTCTCCTCCTAACTCCATCTAAGCTTCATTTTTGTTTTAAAATGGAAATTTTTTTTTTAACTACTTTTCATTCCACCTCCCATCAAATACTAAAAGTACTATTGCAAGTCTAGACCGAGAACATTCTTAAACCTACACCAAGATACTTCAAAATCATCAACCATCAGAGGCCAATGTTCCTTTAACCCTTCCACTGTTGGTCCTGTAATACTACGGCTTGCAAGCCAGTGTCTGTCCCCTAATATTACGCCAAAATTCTAGTGCCTTCCAATCCTGTGGGAGAAAGCTGGTAGGCCTACATATGAGAGAATGGGTCCAAGTGCTTAGTGTGCGTGCGCAGTACAATAAAATCCTGCAGCATGCAGAACACGAGAAAAAAATCCAACCTTTTTTTTTTTTGTTTAAAACAGTGACCATGGTATATTTTCGTGTGGTATTTATGGTTGTATTCTAGTTTTCTTTGTCTCATTTGATAGAATGGAAGCTGTATTACAGAACTAGAGACGATTTTGAATGGTTTATGGAATAAAAGTACAGTGGACCCCCGCATAACGATCACCTCCGAATGCGACCAATTATGTAAGTGTATTTATGTAAGTGCGTTTGTACGTGTATGTTTGGGGGTCTGAAATGGACTAATCTACTTTACAATATTCCTTATGGGAACAAATTCGGTCAGTACTGGCACCTGAACATGCTTCTGGAGTGAAAAAATATCGTTAACCGGGGGTCCACTGTACCTTGAAATTGAGCTCAAAGTAGCAGAAATGTTCAATTTTTGCCAATGTTCAAGAGTAAACAAACCAAGTTGTGTGTCCAATACACGTCAATTGGGTGGGTTTAATACGTTTCCACAAATGCGCCGATATTATGTACGTATACCATTTTTACAATAATGCAGTAGTCTGCATAACGGTAAATCTTCTATTTTTTTTTGTGTGAGACAAACTTCAAAGTGGAAAATAAACATAAGAGGTGTGGGATTACCAAAACTGTTGTCCAGAGGGCTGAGGAAGGGTTGTTGAGGTGGTTCGGACATGTAGAGAGAATGGAGCGAAACAGAATGACTTCAAGAGTGTATCAGTCTGTAGTGGAAGGAAGGCGGGGTAGGGGTCTGCCTAGGAAAGGTTGGAGGGAGGGGGTAAAGGAGGTTTTGTGTGCGAGGGGCTTGGACTTCCAGCAGGCGTGCGTGAGCGTGTTTGATAGGAGTGAATGGAGACGAATGGTTTTTAATACTTGACGTGCTGTTGGAGTGTGAGCAAAGTAACATTTATGAAGGGGTTCAGGGAAACCGGCAGGCCGGACTCGAGTCCTGGAGATGGGAAGTACAGTGCCTGCACTCTGAAGGAGGGGTGTTAATGTTGCAGTTTAAAAACTGTACTGTAAAGCACCCTTCTGGCAAGACAGTGATGGAGTGAATGATGGTGAAAGTTTTTCTTTTTCGGGCCACCCTGCCTTGGTGGGAATCGGCCAGTGTGATAAAAAAAAAAAAAAAAAAAATCTGAATCTAATAAGAAAATGAGTGGAATCTGATAAAAACTTACACTTTTATGGTGTATTGAAGTTGGAGAAAAAATTATTTGGCAATAGTGGCATAAAAGCACCAGTGATAAGTTACATTTTACAATTAGAATTTTTTGTGTTGAATTCAAAATGAATGGCAAATATAATATAGGAGGGGCTTAATATAATTAATAAATAGAGGAAATGTTGCTTTAGTGCCTGAAATGTCTTTTCTTACCATAGCAGTCATTCTTAGCATATTGGAAAAGATTTTGCTGCATGACTAACTTCCAACATATGCAAATACCCATGGTATAATATTTACAACTCCCCTCTTAAAAATTTCCTGCTGCAGCTTCACCTTTGTCTGGTACATTTCCTCTTTGGTCTGTATCATACCATGAGCATATTTCAAGTGCCTCACTATGTTGTTGCCTATCTCTCCAAGACACTCATGTGCTATTTTTGCATCCATGACTTGGATTTACTAAAGTTGCTTTGCAACTAATTCCCCTAACCTGTTTCTATGCTTACTCATTTCAGTCTCACTGCATATGTTACCACACTTATACTATTCTGCATACGTGCTTCCATCTCGCCTGTGCTTGCAACTACACACACATCCTTCTCTTCTATTTATGTCATTCTGCCTCTTGTTTCACTCACCTGTATCATCTATTTCCTCACTTCCCCATCTTGTATACAGCATATTTGGTTGCTTCCATGCTTAATGCATCCCATGTACACCATAACCCCCCCACCCGAACATGAATCCCTCCTTTATAACATCCATGCAGTTGCAACAAGTGGAACAGAATAATGACGCCTCAGTCGTTAGTAAAGATGCGAGACCTTTTATGCACCTTACGGTCAATACAATACACAAGTTTAGAAAATTACTAAATTTAGAAACTAAGGAACATAACCCTATTTTTCCAAAATGCTCTACAATTCATTTTACACCGATTATGCAGTTTTCAGGAACATAACTTACCATTCTAACTGGTTAACCACACATATTTTCCTTAACTGTTCTGTGAACTCAGTCACTGCTGACAGTTTATACAAAAGGATAATCACTAGGGTTTTTATTCCTCCTTTAATACCCAGTACCATTATCATTTGTTTTTTCCAATTCTGACCAACAAAACATGTCTTTCAAACAGGCCTACATCTCTGACCTGCTTTTGTATTTCTCATTGCAACAATTCTCTAAACTTTATACTGTGCTCTCCACAATTTATTACACCTTCTGCCACACCCTTGTTCTGAGGAACCAGAAAACCTTCCTTGTCTCTTACCTTTGAACTATTTCAATTAAATGCAAAGACTATCTTGGTTAACTTTAAAAACCACCAAAACTTACATTCCTTACATTAAAAACTTGTGAAAAGCAAGACTCGTATTGGAAAGATTTGAAACCCTTACCTGTACAAGTTCAGATAGAGTGCAAGATCATTTCCATTGCTCTTAGCACATTAACTATACAAAGGTTCCCAAAATGGTAAACCCAAGATAACTAGAATGTGCCATGGGGTACTGAAGTAGTGGCCAAATTATAATATAAGCCTCTTTTCCATGACCATTTTTGTTAGTATATGCTGCATTGAAGAATTACTTACTTGACTGTATTTGCCATCTTTGATATCCTTCTGTCTGTTAAGAAACCAGTCAGGAATCTTGTACTGACGAGGGTTGCTCATGATTGTTACGATCTTCTCGACCTGCAAAATATGACAATCAAAAACAAGAAAAAAAAAATAAAAAAAATAAGAGGAAAGAATGACTAAGAGACACTGGAGAAAAGTAGAGACCTACTTCTTTAAAAAACATATTACTGTCCTTAAGGAAGAATATCAATGTCAACTTTCACTTAACCCTTTGACTGTTTCGGTTATATATACAAGTCTTATGAGCCAGTGTGTTTGACGTGTAAATATACTCAAAAATTTTAGCGGCTTTAAATCAAGTGGGAGAAAGCTGGTAGGCCCACATGTGAGTGAATGGGTGTGGTGGTGTCAGTGTGCACAGTAAAAAAAAAAACAAAAAACCCTGCAGCAAGCAGTGCATAACGAAAACAAAAAATTCAGACCGTGTTTTTGGATTGAAATGCCAACTTTGAGGTTATTTTCGTATAGTTTTTATGGTTATATTCTCATTTTCGTAGTCACATCTCAGAATGGAAAACAAATGGAAGTGATTCTGCTGGGTTTTTATTATGAAAAGGACCTTGAAACTGAGCTCAAAGTAGGGGAAAGTTTGATTTTTGCCGCTGTTCAAGAGTAAACAAATGACATTGTCCAATAAATGTCCAACTAGCCATTCTTAATATGCAGTCATGAATGGGTTGACATTATTTATACAATTATTACAATATTGCAGTAATGGGCAGTTTCTTGTTCTCAATCATTACAACAAATGGAGTTTTAAAGAAATAGCTATGACTTTGGTCGACTGGAACAACGGAATTAGCCGAAAATTGGGCTCAAAGTGGGCAAAATAGCCACTTCGTAAATATTGCCGAGGTCGCTAACTTTGCGAGAGCGCAATTCCGGAAGTTTTCCATCAAATTTCATACTTTTGGTGTCATTACCATTGGGAAAAGATTATCATTTTGTAAGAAAAAAATTTTTTTTTTACAAAATATTTTGCAGCACCAGGAGACATCTCAGGATTTGGGGGTTGTGACAGTCAAAGGGTTAATTAGCCTGTTAGGTATATGTAGAAGCAGATACTCCCTACCCTGGTCAGTGATTAGCTTAAGATGCAAAGTTTATTTTTTTCCATAACCATATTGCATGAAACTTTCATTACACAACTTCATAAAGGTAGGACTGCTAGAAAGCATAGCTGGATATTTATACCTAACTTCAACCCTGCAGTTTTTTGTGCATAGCCTCCCCCTAACCCCATTTGCTAAAAATTTTACGTGAACACTGGAGACAATTTTAATATAACCCCCAAATTTTGCCATATTTTTCAATTTGTATTCTGCATTTTCACAATATTGTATATTCCAAAATTTGGACCCTCCCCCCCCCCAGCCCCCACACACACACAACTGCAAGAGTCAACTTACAGTCTTGAACAAATCCACATTTCTCGAAGTCCCCACAAAACTGAAGCCCGCAAATACAAAATTATGACTGCATAAATTATTTCAGTTTTAGGTTTATGAAGTTTCCAACATTAATATATCACTAATCTGGTTAATGTTGAGAAAGTGACCGAAACAGATTTGGAAATAAGAAACCCAGCGAGCAAGAGTTGAACCAAATTGTAAAAAACGGTTATTTTCTAAAAATGATACCACCAGAAAGTCCTTTGAAAATTAAATTTATATGCATGTTGCCCATAAGTACTAACAGTGGATAACCAAAACCTGCAAATACAATACATGCAATTTAAAGTCCATTTGAGTAATTTCAGTTAGCACTAACTGCAAGAACGTGCCAAAAATATTTGAAGCAGGGGTTGTAAGGCCTGTAACAAACAAGGTTACAGTCATTAAAACTACATATTGAGTGCTCTACTGAACAAAGGCACACATGATTATAATAAGCTTGCATAAAATGAGACTTCATTAATAGTAAAAATACTTTGCAACTTATGTTGGATAGTTCCTTCAGTATACAAACTAGGGAATAGATAAAAATGAAATATACAAGAGCAAAGAAAGAATGCCTAACTAGGTACTAGTTTGCCTCTACCCTGCCATAAAAGGCCAACTGGAACTTTTTCAGGTCTATAGTTGGAAAGCCAGGGTAAAAAAAAAAAAAAAATTGTGTGACAATGTCAAAACTTTAAGTCCGAATCTAGTAAGAACTAATTCGGGTGGAAAGTTTTCTCTTCCTCTACCTTCAGATAATACACCTAACACACAATGTGCAGGTGCCTTTGAAGAAGGTTATCATAATTACTATTGACTAATACAGTGGACCCCCCCCCGGACATCAGCCGGTGTGGATATTGGCCAAATTGGATTTCGGCAGCTTTTTTGGCCGAAATTCTATCCTGGATTTTGGCCGGCAACTTGGAAATTGGCCATACTGGACGTGTCCGCCCTCCATGCCGCGCGTGTGTGTCTGGCTGTGTGTCTTGACGAGTGAGCAACACACTGTGCATTCATCCAAACATTTCGTTACATCCCATCATTTTTTGTGGTTGTTCGAGTGTGACTGCAAAATAAGCCACCATGGGCCCAAAGAAAGTTCCTAGTGCCAGCCCTTTGGTAAAGAAAGTGAGAAACAATAGAATTCAAGAAAGAAATTGCAGCAAAGTATGAAAGTGGTGTGTGTGCACTCAAGCTTGCCAGGATGTATGGCAAATCCAAATCAACAATCACTTCCATCCTGGCAAAGAAAGCAGAGATCAAGGAAGCTAATGTTGTGAAACAAATATCACAAACAATCTAAGATGTGGGAAAGTTACTGTTGGTATGGATCAATGATAAACAGTTAGTGGGAGATAGTTTTGTAGAGTTGATCATTTGTAAAAAGGCAAGGCAGTTGCATACAGATCTCATGAATAACATGCCTGGAACAAGTGCTGCTGTTAGTGAATACAAGGCCAGCAAAGGTTGGTTTGACAGATTTAAGAAGCGTAGTGGCATACACAGTGTTGTATGGCATTTATGTGTGTTTACGCTGTTGGGCAGACATGAGGTAGTCTTAGATTTCATATCATTTTTTTGTACCAATGTTGGGCTTGTTCCTTCTAGAACTGAGGGGTGGCCACATTGAATTGTCCCTATCTTCAGCGACTGAAATGCATTCGTATCTTAATATGGTTAAAGGAATTTAAGACAGCACATTTATTCTCTGTTAGATTACAGTCTTAGTTAATCAGAAGAAACAGCACGTCTTATATAATTTCCTTCAAAGATCCAAGTGTACTGCTGGGGATATCATTCTACTTTTAGCCTGAAGTTGCATATCAGTAAAGGAGTTTGTATTTATGGGAACAAGCAATTATAATAATTTAAGGGGATGAGGCTGAAATTTAGTTATGCCATGCATTGGTAAAATTAGTTTCCATTTACATTTAGAATTTTATTGGTAAAAGTCTGGGAGGGTATAACAGGCAGCCTTGTGATAATAACAGTCCTTACAGCAAATATTAATTATTAAACATTAAATAAACAAATGCCAAATAATGTTCAGGTGTATGTAAGTTAGTGATGCCAAAGTTTGGTTCCCCCTTCCACACAAAAATAACCACCTTTAACTGAGATCTGTGTGTGACTTGAAAAAGCCCACTGTGTGGGTGAAACGTTGTCAATAAAGGATCACATTATACTGCATGTGTGTTTATATTTCCATTGTGTCGGTATTTTATACGATATGGGATTTTTCTGACTTTAATTGTCTGAAAGTCCATGTATAATCTACATTAATCATATACAAGATCCTCATCATGGGGGTAAATGAATTTTAGTAACAGGTTTTTGACTCGGGCTTAAGCAGGTAAGTGAACTGACAAATTATTTCTTGATTCTTTGGATGACAAACCTCACTTGACTACCCTCTGTCAGTGTACAAGGAATAAAGTGATAAGCAGGCTTTTGCATGGCATGCACCTAGTACATTATACACTTTTTTTTTTTATCTTTAAATAAACTCTGTAGCTCTTCAGGTTTGACAGCATAACCTGAAGACAAATAGTAAAGAATGATTTACTTTTTCACTAGTTAAAGGCTCTCAGTTATTTGGTAATGAACTGAAGACTATACCAGGGAAACGTACTGTACTTGGTAAAACATGGTAAAATAGAAAAATAAGTATTCTCAGGAGGAATGCTGGTTGGGTGTAAATAAGGTTTAATTTTTATGAGAAGGAATTCTTTAAAATTTGATAACTTTTGAGGTAAACCACTCCTCTGTGTTCATTGAAAAATAAAAGTTACAATGGCAATACTGGAACAACTCAAGTCTAGTGTAGTATATAATTGGAAATGAAAGTGACTTTTTTAGTCCTGAACTATTATTGAGTCATCAGTTGGCAGGAAGTCTTGTGAGTACTTGACATTCATATATATACAGTAGACCCCTGGTTTTCATAATTAATCTTCAAGAAGGTTGGCTGAAAACCGAAGTAATATTTCCCATAAAAAATAATGTAAATCCAATTAATCAGTTTCAGACACCCAAAAATATTAACATATTATGTACCCACGACACCAATCATTCCCAGCTCCTCCCACTCTTATATTTGTCCACTCTCTTTTTAGAGCTACCCAAGGTTATGCAAGGTAAAAGAATACAAGTGCAATTGATGTTGCCACAATAAAAATGTCACATTAGTTGCACTTGTGTCCTTTTACTTTACATATTGTCGGTAATTCTACCAACATTATTACTACCCAAGGTTTTGTCGAAGCTAAAACCTTGGGTAGTTTGAAATTTAGGTTGGATAAATACATGAGTGAGAGAGGTTGGATTTGAGTGGGACTTGAATGTGAGTAAATAGAATTATTAAAGCTTAGTGCTTGGGTAGCGTTTATTCTGTTAGTGGGCTGGATTTTTGAAGGACCTGCCAAGTATGGGTCAACAGGCCTGCTGCAGTGTTCCTCCTTTCTTATGTTCTTATGGCATGGTGAGGCTGCAAGTTCAGACAAACGTGCTGCTGAAGAATTCGTACATGAATTCAAGGAGTATGTAGGGGCTGAAGGATTCGTCCCCCAACACCTGTTCAACTGTGACAAACAGGCCTCTTTTGGAAGAAAATGCCAGAGGACCTACATCATGCAAGAGGTAAAGGCACTGCCAGGACACAAACCTGTGAAGGATAGGCTTACTCTTTTGTTCTGAGGTAATGCTAGTGGGGATTTCAAAGTGAAGCCTTCACTGGTGCATCACTCTGAAAATCCCAGTGTTCAAGAAAAACAATGTCGTCAAGAGTAAATTGTGTGTTATGGAAAGCTAATAAGGCATGGGTCACAAGGCTAATTTTCATTGACTGGGTCCATGAAGTGTTTGGCCCGTGTGAAAAAATACCTCCAAGAAAAATTGCCCTTCAAGTGCCTCCTCGTACTGGACAATGCTCCTGTTCATCCTCCGAACTTGGTAGACTAACTGTCTATGGAGTTAAGTTTAATAACAGTGAAGTTCTTGCCTCCTAACACCACTCCTCTCATCCAGCCCACAGACCAGCAATGTCTGAGGTCACTTTGAAGTGACCTCAGACATTGAACTGACCTTAAGTGTGTTCTGGAGGAATCACTTCAATATCCTCCACTACACAAGCCTTATAGGTAAGGCTTGGCAGGGAGTGACTTCCAGGACTTTGAACTATGCTTAGAGAAAATTGTGGCCAGAATGTGTCCTCAACAAGGCTTTTGAAGGGTTCGAGGCTGACCCTGACCCTGTCGACCCTCTGCCTGTCGTGGAATCTATTGTCTCTGGGGAAGTCCACGGGGTTGGAGGCAAATGGCGATGTGGAAGAGTACCACAGAGAAGAGCTAACCACTGAAGAGCTGCAAGACCATCTGCAACAGCAACAGACCATAGCCGAGGAAATTGGTTCAGAGGAGGGAGAGGGGGGGGAAGGTGCCTTCTTCAGCAATTAAGGACATTTGAGCAACGTGGAGGGAGGTGCAAAGTTTAGTGGAGAAATGTCACCCCGACCAAGCTGAAACAAGCCATATCTGCAACATGTTCAGTGAAAAAAAACTTGTCCCACTTCAGGCAAATCTTAGACACACCAGAAAGACCTCTCTGGACAGTTTTTGTGCAACAGGGGTGCAGTGACTCAAGTTGGTCCTAGTGCCAGTAAAAGAAAAGGGAAGTAACCCTGGATAGGGACTTGATACCTGAAGTCCTTATGGAGGGGGAATCCCCCTTCCAAATAATAATCAGTCCTCCCTCTCCTACCCATCTTCCATACACCAACAAGAATCTTCAATAATGGCAAATGATTTTATATGTTCATTTATCCATTTCATTAGTCATTTTATTTAGTTCTCATTGTTTTGACACTATGTAAAACTATAGTTAATCTTTAAAAAATGTATTTTTTGTTAATATTTTTGGGTGTCTGGAACAGATTAATCGTATTTACATTAATTATGGGAAGTAGGGGATTACATACGGGAAGGGGGTTTTCAGGGGGACACAGCGGGGTCGCCTCCTGGGGAGGGGTGTGAGTAAGGTGTATGTGGGTATATGAAGGTGTAGATGAGTGGCATACGTGTATGTAGCATGCAAGTGGGCACAGAAAGCAAAGGTGATATCAAGTAATTACGTAGTACCGAATGGAGAATTCTGTGTTTGATGTGTCAGGGTCGTCATGACCTTCATGTATTAAGTGTGAATGGTGTCAAGATTATAGTTTTAAGACCATGAAGAGCTTTAGGGCTTATGTAGAGTGTGCGTTTATAGCCTTTATTGGGCATATTTCATGTGCGATAATTGTATCGCAATGAGAGGTTTTTTTAAATTATGTTTGTATTTAGTGTTGTGGGTTTTTAGCGAGTGTACTGTCTTATTTTAGCATTATATAATGTGCTCATCCAGTTGCTGCGAGATGGAACAATAATGACTTCCATAAATTTGTAATGCCTCGTTAAAAGTTTGTAATGGGACAGTATGGTTTAGTCTCTTACTTTATATAATGTGCTCAGCCGGTGGAAGAGGCTGTATTAATATTTAGTAATATTTGTTAATATTTATTTAGTATAAGTGTGAGGCTTAGGATTTGATTTTTGATTTAGGATTTGATTGATTTTTTTTTCAATGCATATTAAAGAGAGATTGTAGTGAGGCACGTATGTATGTGCTTAGGTACTTCTTATTGTATAGGGGCTAATTTTGGGAAAAGCATGCAATTGTTTTTAACTGAGATTGTGATGTAGGTTATTACTCTGATTATCTCCTGTGAAGGTTGTGAACCTTTGTCTTATATCCGTCATAGTATGTTAACTATACAAATCTGAAAGTTGTATATAGTTTATAGTTTATATAGTTTATATAGTTTATATATGTTTATATATGTTTATATAGTTATAGTTTATATTGTTTATCATAGTATGTTATATGGAAAATTTTGTGTGTATATGGGTAACCTCTTATGTCAATTACAATGTCTTGTTAATAATTGGTTAGTGTATGTTGTGTAGGATTGAGGATCCTACTGTATCCATTTTATATCTTAATTTAATATCAAGCTGTAAAGTTTTTAAATAAAATATAAAAAAAAAAAAATTATGGGAAATATTACTTCGGTTTTCAGCCTTTTTGGATTTACGCCGACCTTCTGGAATGGATTATGGCCAAAATTTGGGGTTCCACTGTACTTGCATGCTATTGTCACTAATACTTAATATGCTATTGTCCATAAAATGTTACAAAAACTAAATACATGATTCCTTATTTTATATTTTACTACAGAATCTTCACCAAATTTCCTACTTTAATGGGATAAAGAGGCATTTGAGGATGGAATGGGTATCCAGCAAAGTTGCTGTATTTTCAAACCACACCAGTGGTTCAGGGACTTAACTTTTTACTGACTACTTGGTAGTCGGTAAAACAACTGTTGCATTCAGGTTATCTTAATTGTGGTTTAAGCACATGTCTGGCAGAAGTGAGACAGTGAATTGCAGTAATTTTTTTGGATTCACCTTATCTTGGTAAAAGATGGTTGGGAAGGTTTAATACAGTACTTTAACTAATATACGTATATACTAACTCATAGGAATGCAGGGAAGAGGATGGTAACATGGACAATGTAACTGCCTAATTGCCAAGTATTTACAGATGAACAAGAAAAAACTACAAGCCCTCTTCAGTGAAATTGATTTAGCTACACAGCAGAAATATTACATGCAAACAATGTTTCAAAGAAAGAATGCTTTCTAAATTTTCTTTCGAAACCATATTGTAAACTTAAAGTTCCATATTCACAGTCTGAGCTAATTATTAATTGAACATACCTCTTCTTCTGTCATCTCTCCAGCACGTTTTGACTGATCAATGTCTGCCTTCTTCAAGACTATATTGGAATAACGTCTGCCAACACCCTTGATGGCTGTCATGGCAAACATGACCTTTCGTCTGCCATCGATGTTCGTGTTCATCAAACGCAGGATATGCTGAAACTTTTCCGGAACCACCAGTGACTAAAAAAAAAAATTGTCTTAGAAATCAGCAAGTCAAGTTCAACAATGCATAAATATTACACAATTATATCTACTGTGTTTACCTAATATGGGGGAGAAACATTTTTGGCTACATCAAAAAATGTCATTTTTTTTTAATCCCTATAGCTCAGATAAAACTCTGCAAACTGCAATAAAATAACCTATACATAACCTTCTCAATGTAAGACATGTACTTACAGGTCCTTAAAACCTGCTTATTGGTATGAACAGTAGTACAAGTTAATATCAAAGTAATCAATTTTATATTTGTTGCACAGCACTGCATTAGGCCTACTGACCCATACTAGGTATTTAAAGATTCTAGAGTGAGAATGATATAACCTATAAAGTAATTCACAATACTGAAGTATTAGATTTGTCAGAAATCCTTCTCCAAATCAAGCAATAACTGATCTAAGTGGAATGATTCTTATTTTTCTTCCTTCAGGTGTTACACCTAACACAATAGTTATGCAGGTGCCTTTTCTGAGGGTTATAAATAATGCCTATCATTTCACTAACATAATAAAGAAGTATTACAATAGCCTACTGACTTGTGCTCTTGCACTGTTATACTGCCAGGTGGCAGGTTTGTTACAACATAATCCAGCATTGTAATTTAGATTCAAGTTCTGTTACAGTTATATAGTACATGCATCTTTAACAGCAGGAAATATTCTAAACCAACTGAAAGCATGGGAATGTCAATCAGATCACTTCCATTCTGCCAAACCTTAATCTGAATACAAAATCTTTTGGAGCTCTGGTTAACAATCTAAAAATAACAATCAATAAGCCAAGACAACAGATTAGTATTTTCAATAAAGCTAATAGAATTCTTGGCTTCATATCAATTAGCATAAACAAGTCATATGGTTATACTTTATATATTCTTGGTAAGGGCTCAGATTTTGGTGTGTAGTTCTGTTTTCCATAATGTACTGGAAAACAAGATGACAAAATCTTTCCTACAAAGATAGATCTAGGGCATTGAATTTGTATAGAGAGAAGACAAATAAAGGGGATCTAAATAATATACTCAAAATATCTAACGAAGACAGGACTTGCAGCAATGGCTTCAAGCTGGATTAGATTTAGAAAAGATTTAGGATTATTATTATTATAATCAAGGGGGAAGCGTTAAACCCGGAGGATTATACAGCGCCGGGGAAGGGGATGGATGTGGAAGGCATTTAGGCTTACACAAATAACCCGCACATAGAAGCGAGGAGCTTACGACGACGTTTCGGTCCGACTTGGACCATTTACAAAGTCACACTAAACTGGAGCACAGATACAATTCCCTAAAAAAGGATTTAGGAAAGCACCGGTTTGGTAACATCTGTGGATGAGTGGAATAAGCTCCAGAATAACATTATTAAAGCAGGAAATTTTTAGTTTTAGAAAGGGGTTAAGAAGTACAAGAGTAGGTGTGGGTGGGTTTAAGATGGACCTGCTTAGTGTGTTTAGTGTCGCCTGTGCCATTAACTAGCCCAAGTGACTAGTTAATAGTCTGAACGAACCGTCATAGGTTTACTATGTGGATGTGTGTACTGTACTAGTAAACAGAAAATAACCATTACAAACCCATATTGGAACAATTTACTTACATTCCTGGCAGTATATGAATTATTAAAAAAAAAAGACCTAAACAATACACAAGCATGTAAACACGTCCCCCCCAACCCCTTTCAAAAAATTTATCACATTTACGCTGAATTATCACTAATAATATAAATATTACGCAAATTAACAATGCACGGGAAGATACCCGACATGTCGATCTTTCAAGAAAAATAATATCGACCGTGTATACCATAATGGATGCAAAGATACAGAGAGATATTCATCAGAAACCTAGTGAGACCGTACCTACCATCTTGGCGGTTGTGAGGGAAGGACTGGATGCGGCGGTGCGTCACCTGACAACAATTTTAAAATTGGATAATAAGTACTTCCCTAAATATTCAAAATAAGTACACATGTCACACCAAATTAATAATAAAAATAATAATAATTTATAAGACATTTTAATATTACGCTATTAAGCGCTGAAACCTTCTATTCCCTAGGCGTTGTATGACGCCACGAAAATAATGTTTTTGTTAATTAACCCGCTAATTTCAATTTTATCTTGTATTAACAGATTTAATTGCAATGTCATTGTGCACCTTTTCCTGATCTATATGGTGTTATAACACTACAACAAGAGAAACAGTTACCTAATACACTCTTCATCCTAATGATTCTTCCCTGGTATATTAGGAAGAATAACGTGACTGGAACAATACACAAATAACCCGCACATAGGAGAGACTGAAACGTAGGTCGATGTTTCGGTCCGACTTGTGCCATTAACTAGTCGCACACGGTAATAATAATAATAATAATAATAATAATAATAATAATAATAATAATAATAATAATAATAATAATAATAATAATAATAAAAGTTAAGACACATGTGCAACATTTGGTTATCTTTATTGTAGACGTTTCGCCATCCAGTGGCTTTATCAATACAAATTCTAGGACATAACTGGAAGACAGTAGAACTATATACAAAAGATGAGGTAATCAGTCCCTCAGCCTTGGAGTTTTTTTTTTTTTTTTATTTAAAAGACATACATAGTACATAAAAGTAAACGACAAATTACATAGTGAAAACAGTGATGAAAAATTCTGCATAATACATTTACTTTCCAATTAACATATTACATCTGAAATACACAAATCTGTACAGTAAACAATGACCACTCCAATCCTTGAAGTAATGACATTATGTCTGGAACACTAAATCTAACCTAAAGACTCCTTGGCAAGTACATCTAATTCCTGATTGTACATCCTGCCACGGAATGTACACCTTACATTCTGAAAACACTACCCCCCTTTCTTTTTGCTTGTCAAGCCACATGACACGTAACAATCTTTATATGCAAATGTATGTTGTATGAAATGCTTGCATTATTCCATATTGAACAACATGATACGTTCAGTATAACTCAATGTGTGTACGAATGGTATATAATACCGACAAGATGAGATTAAGACACATGTGCAACATCTGGGTATCTTCATTGTAGACGTTTCGCCATCCAGTGGCTTTATCAATACAAATTCTAGGACATAACTTGAAGACAGTAGAACTATGTACAGAAGATGAGGTAATCAGTCCCTCAACCTAGGAGTAGGTGCGAAGAGCACCATAGTCGCGGAGATTCAGAATCTCCGCGACTATGGTGCTCTTCGCACCTACTCCTAGGTTGAGGGACTGATTACCTCATCTTCTGTACATAGTTCTACTGTCTTCAAGTTATGTCCTAGAATTTGTATTGATAAAGCCACTGGATGGCGAAACGTCTACAATGAAGATACCCAGATGTTGCACATGTGTCTTAATCTCATAACTCAATGTATTGAGATAATATAAAAATCAATTCTACATGATTCATGTACAACATATATCTACTAAACACCCAAACATATCACCTTCTCGAGGAAGGTATAAATATATACATATGTTGCATACACTTTACAACACAAACAGTGAAACAAACAAAAACCTAATCCTATGTCATCCATCAATTACCCTAAAATATATATCAACTCAACGGTAACCTAAACCTACGGGCTCTATAGAGCTCCCATGAAAAAACAATATGTAATAAGAAAACAGGATGAGTCAAGCTTTCTAAAAATATTTCGCCCATATTATTAAAACCACTACTAAGATGTAAGTCTGTTAGCACAATACATAACAGTGCATCACCTTCACACGTCGATAAATGTAAAGTAAAAGGACACAAGTGCAACTAATGTGACATTTATTGTGGCAACGTTTCGCTCTCCAGGAGCTTTATCAAGCCATGGCTTGATAAAGCTCCTGGAGAGCGAAACGTTGCCACAATAAATGTCACATTAGTTGCACTTGTGTCCTTTTACTTTACATATTGTCGGTAATTCTACCAACTTTATTACACGTCGATAAATACTGATGCCTTCCTACCACACGCAATACTTCATGCACCCACATTGTCATTTCATTACACACATACCAATAATTTCGTTGCAGATATATAATATTCCATCACATTACGACATCTGTCGTCCTTTGTCAATTACATAATTAATAATTAAATTGAAGAACTTGTATCGTTCACAACACACAACCCGCTCATCACACAGTCAAAGGCATTTATGTCTCAGTACTATATTCATTCTCTTCCACACTAAACCCTTTCACACTGTCCGTATTGGGAAGCCAGCCCGCCGCGACCCCTTACATTGCACGTAAATCCCATAAATCCCTCAACCTAAAACTCCGATAGCCCTCAGTAAAAGCAGTCTCCCAACTCCCTCCATAAATTTCCCTATTACGACACTTAGTTCTGTAAAATGTCGCAGTTAACACCTTTATCCTCTCATCCACGCCCACCTCCCTCATGGCCCATGACGTATATATAAAATCCGTGACCAAATACGCCACTGCATTCTCCACCATCTTACTCACCCCACCTATATCCAAACTTAAAGCCCGCAACACCTGCAACCCTCCCCACCCACTAACCTAAAACACCTTTCCTAACCAGACCCGCACAACTTCTATACAGTCACAGAAATATACCTCATGAAAAATTGTCTCCATGCTTCACACGCTCTACATTCCCCTCCCTCCCTTATCCCCCTATTGAATAGGACAATCCCAGACGGCAAAATCCCATGTAAAAATCTAAACATTACCCCCCGAACACCCGGTTTTACACTTAATTGTTTTGGGACGCGTCCATATTTCGTTCCACGCATACATAGGGTATGCTCCTTCAAACAGCACCCACCACTGACCTACCTTCCACTCCTTTGAGGACCCGCAATTTAACCCAACGATGGGTCCCTCACTGTCATTAATAACCTCAACATGGCCTCATCAACTATTAAATCCCTACCCCCCCACCACCGTTGCATATCCTTACGTACTCTCGCAAGTCCACCTCCCCTCCCGCCCCCCTCCCTTATATAACTTCGTTTTAGATACACGGTCATCATCTTTTTTTCCAGAGGTAAAAGTCCCAGCCCTCCCCGACTGACCGGAAGTGTTAACACCGCTCTACTTAACCATTCGCAGCCCGATCCCCATATAAACCTAAAAACCCCATGTTGTAAACGTTTCACCTCACGTCTCATCAGTGGGTACATGACAACGACATGCCATAACTTGCTGTACAATAGCATGTTCATCACTATTACTCTTTGATGCAGCGTTAGTTGCGCCGCCCTCAAACCACCAAGTCTTTTCAATACTCCATCCACTATTCGCACCGAATTCACCTCTTAAGCCACCCATGTATTTCTCACATAAATTATCCCACGTATCATTAGTTGATCCACCACCTTCCACCCACCCCCTACCACCTCATCCCCATTTGTACTATCCCTTAGGTCTAGAAACTTAGTCTTCTCAATTAATTTTCATCCCTGAAGCCTCCGAAAAACACATCCACCACCTTACCCACCCTAAGCAAGTCCCTATTACCTCTCACCAAAACAGTCGTGTCATCCACATAACCTGCGATACCAGCCCCCCCTCTCCCCGGTCAGTACCCTCCCCACCTCCCGCAACACACCTCCGAATGGCCCTATAAAATGGATCCTGTATACACGCAAAGAATATTTGTGATAGTGGGCAGCCTTGGCACAGTCCCCGTCGCATCTGTATTTTAACTCCTAGCCTCCCGTTAACCTGCACCCTCATCGACGCCCCCTGATACAATAATTTTGCCCAAGATATTATTTCTTCCCCAAAACCTTGCCAACGCATGAACCTCCATAACGCTTCCCTTTCCACACTATCATAAGCAGCCTTCCAATCTAACGCCAATACACCTCCATCACCCAACTCCCCCGTTTCTCTATAAATTCTCGAATCATGCCATGCCCTTCATACATCGACCTTCCTGGCACCCCATATTGCCCCCTATCAATTACCTTGCCTATTACCCTCTTGATTCTGTTCCCTAATATTCTCGCAAACAACTTATAATCTCCACACATAAGTGAAAGTGCCCGATAATCCATTACCGTTGACTGCTCCCCTATAGGTTCCAACACCACAATGGCCGTCCATTGCTGCTCTCTCATTACCTCAGCCACCTTAAGTATGTTAAACAGCCTTACAAAAAAAAACCCTCAGAACCCCCCAATTCTTTACATAGAAATCATTTGGCAGTCCATCTATACCCGGCGCCTTTCCCAAGCTAACTCCTGACAACGCCTGCCAAATCTCACACTCCGTAATCAGCCCACCTGATGCCACCCGATCTTGACCATCAAGCTCACACGGCACATACTCTCCCATTTCCCCCAATGCCACTTCACGGATGCCCACACTTTGTGTATATGACTTAAACCAAGCATCTACATATCCACTCATACTCTCTGTCGTTACCAATGCTTGACCCGCTCTATACCCTTCCATCCCTACATGTACGTTTAACCCCATCATCTCCGTCGTCACTCTCCTCTTTCTCTGGCCTCTTAACACGTAAGCTGACAGTCGATCACCCCACAGCACTTCTTCCAATCCTCCCATAATTTGCACACCATCAAAATGCTCGTTTTGCAATACCCTAATACTCTCCTTTAAACCCTCAATGTCCTGCACTGGATAGCTTGCTCCTCCTTGCACATAGCAGTCATGCAGCTGCCCTTCAAGATATCTTTGAAACCCATACTTTAACCGATTATATTCCCTCCCACGACAAATATAATATTCTCTGATACGATTTTTAGCCACCGAATCCCACAAATTTACAAGTTCATCATCCCCCGGCGCCTCATCCACCAACCGTTCCCACAATTGCTCAAAAGACTGATGACATTCCTCACCCTGCAAAAGCTTCACATTTAACTTCCAATAACCTTG